TATGTTATACTTTACATCATATTTCTAATGCATTGCTGATGAGATTCGCGCGAACTAATAATTTCCAATACAAGTCAATGAGTATTTCTTTATTTTGATCAGCTCGATTACGTTCATACATAAATTTCGTTTCATGAATTACTATTGATTTGAGCATTTGCTTTTAACCACTATTAATGATTGGTCTGTTTATTATGTTGTGTATATTAAGTATTTCCTAATCTGCCTAATTCCTTTTGATGTTTTTGAAAATTCTTACCGCAACAAAAAACAACTTCCTTAATCGGTTATTATCACTCAATCGAAAATCGTACTCTCATCATTGCAAGAGTAAAAATTAATTGAAAATCAACGTTTTCTGATGTGATCGCCCCTGCAAAGGATCCATCTTTAGACAGCCCTCTGGTAAAATATTTCGAGATTAGAATTTCTTCGACATGAAATGATCATGAGCAGGTGACAAAGAAGAAATTCTTCGAGTAAAGGAAACCGCTCATTCACATTCTTATCAAAATTTCCAAGTCCCTTTGAGGAATTCGATAAGCGTACTGCGCAACGCTTTCAAAACGAATCGTTTCCTGCGAAAGAAATCTGCCAAAATACTGATTCTCTGCTTGTCAAATCATATCTGACATGATGAATGAACATTGCGAAGACATTCAGGGATATGCTGTGAAACAATGCGTTTTAAAAATCATTGAGCACAGCTGGAGCGTTATTAATGCAAAAATTTTTTTGTCACCGGTGCTGTTGTGCTTTAGTGATGGAGCACATGAGTACAAGTGATGAGCAGTTCACTTTTGTCAGTGAGAACAAATACATGAGCAAGTGAGTAGCTCAGAAAATTTCGTGAGCAGAACATCCCTCTTTCAAAATTGTCCATAATTGTAGTCCACACAAAGAGCACATCTATCTATCCTCTCATAACTGAATCTTCTTACGTACGGATGTCAAAATGATGAATGTGTCCGGCACGATGCAAGATAATTGCTGATGTTTTAACATCATGTTTTCGTATGATTAATACAAACGCACTTGTATTTCTCAAACATACCACATCATATCAGTCGCGCTTTTACCTCAATTCCATTCCCAAAACGCACATTTTCAGTGGTTTCATTGTTTTGCTTCCATGTTCCGTGTGAATTTAAAATAGGAAAGTAAACGTTTAGAAGTCGACGTCGAGTTCAGAAGATTGGAATTGGGACTGAGCGTAGAATGTGAGAGAAATGAAGTAGGTATGGTAGTAATGAAACGATTCAAGGAAGGTAGGTGTGAACAACGCAGTAATGTCCATTTGAACATCAAGAATGCAAACAGTTTAAGGAATATTGCAAGAAAGTTAATGTGCTTGATATACGATGCAAAGAAAGCGGTGTGATGAGACGAAAACAAAATTTCTTAAATTTGAACTTTCTTCAATTCTCTTTTCTAAATAAATCAGTGGAGAGGAAAATGGTAAGAGTGTTTCGCATGGGTCAGCTTCTTACCCGACAGACGCAGCAATATGTTATGCTCTATCAAAATATATAGAGGCCAATATGAACATGGATTTTTATAACTCAAGCGTTTCCATTACCCGAACGAGCAAGAATACGTTTTTAGATCATCACATATGAAGGAACATATTATATGTATCGTATGGCGCATCAGTATTGGAATAATACAAAGTTGTATCCATAGTATGACAAGTTGTAATTAAATACATGGGTGCAACAGCCCGTTAGCATTCTTTTTGAATGATGTGAAGGATTTCCGGATGAAGTCCAAACAAAATTACTTCGATCGATGAATTTTTTCTAAAGCAATTTTCAAAATTACCCAATAAAAAGGTTTCATGGATAAATAATGATGCCGATAATAAATTCGAAATATCGAAATCAAAATATTCATTCGTGAAATTTTATTCATAATTCAAAAACAGTTCAGAATTGGTTAAATTAACAGAAATGCTAACTATAAGTTATTTCAAAAGATGTACAATAAGTGTAGCAGTTGATAATCTTGATTGCTACTTGTCACTTACATGTTCTTTTACATTAACCATCACTCCGAAAACATATTCGCGAAAATACATATCCGTCATCTCAGTTGTGTATTCCGTTTCAACCTTAATGGGGCTGTTATCATTTGAATTGTTCTTATCACAACTCCTATTATTATTATCTATAATGTCACCAAAATTATTGCATTCAAACTGCGTTGTGTATTTCAGTCTTACCAGGAGTCGTTCTTACTTCAATCTGAAACACCGAGAACAGAGCGCTCCCTCATTCGATCAGCCTTCAGTGATTGTTAGTAAACAGGTATCAGCCAACAATAACTCTGAGCATAAAACTAAAACTAACCAAAAGACCAATTCAACGTTACACATGAATTTCATTATTTCTAACTTTTATCTCCAGAAAAGTTGTAAAATTTAGTACGCTATCATGTCATTCGCCCAAAAACAATTTCAAAATTCATTTCACATTAATGTCTACTATATTGAATTGTGTCCTTTAAATTAATGAAAATAAAAAGAAAATTCACTTCTAATGCATCTCACTGTCACTTCACTGAGATGCATCAAAAGTATTATTCACTACACTATAATATTGCTGAGTCGAAACAATATTACATTTCAATGTACAGTAATACTACAATACATTTATTTCAATAAATTTTGCCTCTTCATTTAGTCCGTTTAACTCCCACATAAGGAAAATCATAATCAAAACAGTGAGTTAAATAAATAATTTCATATATCGAATATACAGGGAAGGAGTGATATAATTATTTCCATATCTCATATGTTTACGTTCTCGATTGTATCTTTCAATTACATAATAAAGAACACCTCAACTAAAGACGATGATTTGCGAATGATTTTTGCATTCGGACGCAATATCGGAACGAAAGTCCCTAAGCCACAACAAATAGACGCTCAATTTCTTGATGAAACGCTACGATTTCATGTTTGTATGAAATTTTGAGAGTGGTGAGTGATAGCGTTGTTCGTTTTGAGTGAACAATAGAATGGCAACAAAACAAAGCAATCTTCATTGAATGGAACAATAACGCAAATGCGACGACTAACCGTTTGAAAATATTACGCATTCAAGGAATGTTGAAATCGTTACTCTTACAATTAGCTGATTTATCGACGCATTATAAATACCACTCGATTTGCGACAGCAATGATCATGCATAGAGTGTATGAACATCTCGTGAATGTTGTGCATTTCCGGAACGGCAATTTTTCTCAGTTTACATTGATTTGTGGCATTACAATCCGGACAATAACGCGGCTAAACGGAGATGGTTGATAAAGCTCATTTATTGAACAGAGAACGTCCACTACACATCCAATTGCATATTCTAGAAAATCATATTCATAACATCCAAAAAAATTTGAACGATGTCAATCAGCAATAAACTAAAGCCTTCTTATGGTCATTGGCGAAGTTGTATTTAGAGTAATTCGAAGTTAATCGATAGGTTCAAGTAACCCAATTGCATTCCAAACGCTAATTTCATCTGATGAATGAACGAGTGAGGCCAAAGTGTGTTTATCAGGGAACTAGAACTTGATGCAGTAATGAATAATGCAGTTGATACGAAAATTACACATGTCAACATACGTATGCATTTCAGAAACCTTTCTTTTTCAATGCAATATCACAGTTGAATACTTTTGAAACATGGGCAAATTTTATACGAATTCATGCGAACTGCAAATTATTCTTTTGCTATGCACTAAACTCCATTTCCTTTCAGCCGAACAATCGAGAATCAATGAAACACTGCAAATTAAAAAAAAAGAAATAAAGGCAGTGGATCTCCTTCTCGACAGTTCTCTCTTCTTCGGAGGAATTACTCGTTTCAAAAAATCGACCGTCATACTGATGATGAGAAGGGCATATAATCAATGATCCAACTGCAAAATTATATCATGTTTGTAATTTTGAGTCATTTCCAGGACCAAGTCCGATAATGGACAGCGCTGCGATATAGTACATTGCGTGCCATGGTTACAATTGCAGCAACCATTAGCTAAAACTGCATCGTTATTGCGCATTACTAACTGCAGTGCACGCCAGCAAGTACACATCGCGTAACATTTAATTCTCTCCATTGCTTCATACTGACAAAACGTTGTTTTTTACAACTGCGAATAAATTTCAGTTTATTTTTGTCGATAACTGTCAAAAGATTCTTGGTGAATTCCAACTTATAGTGAATCTCGCAGGCTGCGATTACCATCCGTTTTGTGTTGAACGAAACATCACAAGAGAGATCAAAATCATATGATTGAGTAAATGGTCAACCAAACAAGACACAATCATTGTGAAGTTGCAAATTGAATTTGAAATAATTTTAAACGGCCGATAGCAAAACAACGAATCATTTGTGATGAATGTGTTCAGTATCTCTGCAAAGTGACAACTGATCTGTCACGGCACGTATTGCCAGTCAAAACTGCACGCAATAACTACCGTTTCACAAGACAACAACATATATATAAGGTCATGAAATTATGACGATTATCACTGAACGTTGGTATATACAAGATCTGTTCAAATTCAAAGTATAACGTATTCTTTGAGCAGATTTGGTTATCCAATGAACATTCGATCAAATGAACAATGACAGAGATGAAACAAAGAGTTTCTGCGCCTCATTTCAACCTTATGAATACGACACGATCAACTGATATTTTTTGAAATCAATGAATATTAAATCGAAATAATAACGGTAAAATGATCGAAATAACGATCAGTTCCATACAGCCGATCACTTGATGACTGTATGAATGTTAGTCAATAACTGTAGGATTTGGGGCCAGATTGAATACCAATCAATTCTTGAATAGCAATTAAATTTGATACATTGAAAGCAACGAATGATTATTCATGAAGGAAGTACTCGCGACCAACTGATTTTATTTGTATGTTAAATATAAAAATTAAACAATGAATTAGACAATAAATTAAACAATAAAATTAAACAATGAAACATTAAATAAACGAATTAAGCAACTTACGATGTGCGTTTCTTGGATAGTACGATAATTTAAGTTGTGCAAGCGATTGCCTTCTCGCTTCGCGTTCTTCTTTTGCGAATATAAGTGGATTCAGTGTGAATCGACGACCCATTCGTGGTAGATTAATCATTTTCTCGTGGTCGTTTTCATTATCATTATCAGTATCATTATCCATTATTTCTGATTCTGAATCAACACTTGTGCCAGCTCTTTCTATAACTATTTGTGGTGGATGATAGCCTCGATATTGCATTTTCAATTATTAATGTTGATATTACAATTATTGCAATTAGTAAGAATAATTTACATCCAATCAGATTCACTCCAGGTTATTGCAGGACAACAATATTGCAAGAATATATATATATATATAT